CCAAAATTGTCTGTAGACATTGCCAAATGTCCCCTTGGTGGCAAAAGTCCACAACYGAGAACCACTGACCAGTGGAATCTGAAACCTGTAGTCAGGAGCCTGGGACCCTCTCTCCTGCAACCAGCTCCACCTGGCAGTGAGCCCAAACCTCCTGGGGACCCGGCCTCCTCCAGTCAAAGTGTCACCATGTCCTCCCCCAGCTGCCCCGGCAGGCAGGACTATCAGAGGACCATGGGGACAATCTTTGAACTAAGTGCTGCAGCTTCTCCTTCACTAAGATGTCACATAGACTGTGGCGTGACCAACTCTGGGGCCAGGGAGTGGGGTGCAAGGTGGGCACATCCCCTTCAGGTGTGCTTTGTGCATCTGCTGGGACTTAGTCCTGTGGCAACAGCTCCAACCTGCTCTGGGGAGGTGGAAGTCRGCTTGACAATGACCCAGAGGCTGAGCATGAGCCTCACCAAGGCTGGGACRGGCCACCTGGGCGGGCGCAGGGCCAGCTGGTCAAGAGATGGCGCAGGGCACAGGGCCATGGGGCGGCCTCCTCGGGCCAGTGCCTCAGTCCTCCCTGCTTTCATTTCTGCCATTCACAGTGACGCCACAGACAGGACGGACCTGGCCCAGCCTTGGGTCCTTTGGGTGGCCCTTGGTGTTTCTTGTGGACACGCTTCCTCACTCTGGGAATAACTGTACTTCTTCCCCAGTCACCACRGTCTGGGTGGCCTTGTCCCCTCCCCCATGAAGACAGGAATTGCTCAAGCTCTGATCTCAGGAGGACGCACTGGGAACACCTGGGGCTGCTGTGATTCTGCTTCTCTGGGTTTTTGGAGAGGGACATTTTTCAGCTTAGAGATATGGACTTGTGCCCCTGGGCTCTCCATACCCAGTGCACCTGCTCTCTCCTCTGTCCCTCTCACTGAGTAGAATGGTCGGGGCCCTGGGCCACTGGGGTGGGAGAGGCCAGGGCAGATGAATCTGGTGGTGCAGGCCCCAGCTGTCCCCCTCAGGCCCCTGAGCAGAGCTCTGGGGCTTCCTGTCATGGCAATAGTCTCCCCTGGGGCTTGCTCTGGGGACACTTTGTGTAGATCTGCAGAACATAGAAAAGGGGACCTGGTGACAGCTGACTGAGAACAGGACCCCGTCTCAGCCTGGTGCTGCAGCTCTGGGGGACCCTGTGCTTCCTGGTGAGGGTGCTGCGCAGCTGGTGCCCAAGGACCCGTCAGCTCTGCACTGATTTCTGGGTGGCCTCAGCTGCTCTCCCTGGCCCTGCCCACTGCCCTCTAAGGCCCTTATTTGTGAGGCTCTGAGTCTAAGAATGTGTGGCCGTGCCTGTCCCTTTTTCTTTTGACATTGGCAATCTGGCTACCGAGTCCTGGGGCCAAACCTGGGCCTGGCCTCAGAGGCCCACCCTGGAAGGCTCATGCTGGGGTGCAGGGAGGGCAGGGAGGTGCAGGTGGGTGCAGGGARGGCAGGCGGCTGGCCAGGGAGGCCCGGGTTGAACTCGTGCTCCTTGCTGTGGGCTCTCAGGCCTGTGGCCTGCCTGTTTCCTCAAGAGAATAGTGGGGTGACAATGTGCACCCCTCAGCTGTCCCCAGGGGAATTCGGGAGGTACATGACACAGCACAAAACACCAGGGAGACGTGTGAACAGCAGCAGGAGAGGAACTAGGGACCTGGCTGCTCATGGTGAAAGGAGCCACCAGCTGAGGGGGGAGGCCTGGTCTGCGGCTCCAGACGGATCCTAACATCTGCTAAYGGGGTCTGGCAGGCTCCCAGCTCCCACTTGAAACGGGGCTAGAAGCTGGCTTCTTGCCTTTCCAGCCACCTGGCGCCAGCCTGTCCTTCCTTCCTGCCCCCTAGGACCCTGGGGACTCCTGCAAGGAGACACAGTCATCTCTCTGCCTCTTGATACTGATTTGACGGAGCGCAGAGAATATTCTAGCAAAAGCAGCCCTTCTCCGAGGACCAGCTACTCGAGAGGCTAATGCCTCCTTCCTCAGCACTGACCCATCAAACCAGAGGGGGCCCTGGGTTCCGCCTCACCTAGGGAGAGGCCAGACTGGGCCCCAGCTGGAGTCTGAACCAAGAACATCTGTGTCCCCTCCTCTGGAGAGCCCTGGTCCTCAGAGAGAGGGCTGTGTCTAAGCTGAGGTCAAYGTGCCACACGGGCCGTCCCACGACCTGACCTGGCGGTTCTGCTTGGAGGAGCAGCTTTCCCAGAGTGCATTGCCTGAGGGCCCCCGGTCAGGACCCCCCTCTGCATGCATCTTGAGAAAGGCKGTCTTTGGGAACCTCACTGGAGCCTTATGAGGAGACCTGTGGACAATCTTAGACGGCTGAGGGCAGCATCAGGGACCACTTGATGAGTCAGGCAGAGAAGGGGTTGAGCGTGCCCAGTTCTAGGATGACCAGAGACCTGTGAGAGCCAGAGCTGGCCCAGGGAGTGTACCTTGAGGAGCAGACTCTGTAGACCCAGGGCCTGGTCTAACAGAGCCCTGGAAGTGACACCGGCCACAGAAGGACAGTATGGTGTCACCGAAAGAGCCTGGCTTTGAAGCCCAGCTTCCCAGTCCAGGCCTGGCTCCTCACTTGCATGCTGTGTGGCCTCAGGAGAGTTACTCCACTCCTCTGCACCTCTAGCACCTCTCCTGTGCACTCGGGAAATGATGTTGCCAAGTAACCGCGAGGATAAAGGACGGGCATGCGAATGTGGCGCTGCACCTGACCCGGTGCTCAGGCACAGGAGCCAGGTCTGTGTTTTCCCCTCACCTGACCAAGATAGGACCACAGAGGCYGGGGGACAGGGCGGCTCACTCTCTGGCTGGAAACCCATCCCTTGCTCCTCACTGTTATCCGTGATGACGGGATAAAAACAGCAAGGACACCAAGAGAGCCACTGGGATCTGCACACTGTGGTGTGGACAAGATGGCCCCAGGGCACCCCACTGTCTGTGCCCTGACTCTGGAGAGAGACTTGAACACTGAATGTAACTGACGTTTATGTGTGCATGGGGGTGTGTSGTCCAGGAGACCCCTGCAGTCACAAGTCCCCAGGGACTGGAACGCTGGAGCCCTTCCTGAGGCCAGATGCCACTTTTCCTTCCTGCCTCTCTCCCTGGGTCACGGCAGACACAGCGCCCTCTCCCACCTGCCTTCCCACGGCTGTATGGAGAAAGGGATTCCGGTGCCCCTGGGGACGTGAGGCCAGAAGCTGGGGCATCAGAAAGCCCTGGCACTGAAGTGCCCCAGAAGATGCCAGGCATGCCCTGGCCCCTGTYCTGGCTCTGGACCTCCCTCCTTGGGTTCTCAGGGAGACATCTGTCTAAGAAAGCCTGGCTCGGGGGGCAGACCTGGGGCATGGGGAGGAGGGCGCTGCTGGCGAAGCCGCCGGGTGAACACCCAAGGGCCCCGTGGCATGGAGGCTAACTACCCAGTCCAGCCTGCTGTCCGTCAGTGAGTCCAGAAGGAGTGCCAGGCAGACRGTCCCAAGTCCCTTATCCCAGGCTGTAAAGGTCAGGCCGGTTCCTCACTGAGCAGAAGCATTTCAGATGGATGCTAATCACAGCCGGCAGCCACCATGGCTCTGTCTGGAGGCTGGGCTGGTGAGCCTGTTATCGTGCAGCTCCCAGAGACAAGTGGCCACTTCTGGACATCCGAGGTGCCCTTTACCTATCATCAAAAACACTCATGTCCCCTGAGACAGCAATGACGGGGTCAGGATTTCTGCAATCATCCCCAAACACACACAGGGGCTTCTTTACTAGCCTTCAAAGTCTCTCCATCGCAGAAGGGAGATTTATGCCACGTACCTTCTTTTCTGTAGTGGAGGGAGAAGGGAAGGAGAAAGACCCCTGGGTCTGTGGCCACTCAGTCCTCTCTGAGATCCTTCCCACTGTCTGCACAGGGAGCGGCCTTGGGAAGGTGATGCAGTGGCCTTGTGCAGTAACTTCCCAGGACTGGGCCCTGCGCGTCCCACCCTGCTCTGCTGTTTACTGGGGACCCTCCTTGTTTAGCAGGAMCCCCAGGGAGACTGGAGCTGCAGAGGAGCACACCACAGCCAAACTGGCCCCAAATACAGGCGGATGCACAGCCTGCCGCCTCCCACCTGGCTTCTACACCCTGGAGGGTCACGCCACCGAGGGCAGCTTCTCCAGTAACCGGACCTGGGACCACATGCAGACCACAGCCCTCTCCGTCCCATCCACCCGACGATTAGGCGGACGGGCATCTTTCCCATCTTAGGAATTCCAGGATTCCTCCGAGGGGAAAGAGCAACTTCGTTTGGGCAGCTGAAAAGTTAACTGCTCAGCAGAAGTAGTTTTTTAAGGTGTCCCCTTCTCTTCTTGAAAAGATGAGGAAGTCCATCCAGCCCTGGACACCAGTGCCCCCGAAGCCCCACATGTGACCAGTAACCCCCCATCCCTGGGTYTCCTGATGTGCCCAGGGCCCTGAAGGGGCCCAGTGCCTGGTGACGAAGGCCATTTCCGAGTCACATCAGGGCAGCCCTATGGCCCTGTGAGATGACCACCAGCGTTACCAGGGGCTGAACAGGAAACCCAGCTGGGCTGGGATCTGGAATGTTCCCGGAGCTGCTCCTGCCCAGCCCCCACACGTGGGGTTTGGCACATTTGTATAAACAAGACACAGCAGCGGTCGGTCGCTATCACAGCTAGCGAGTGATCACCACCACGTCCACCTTTTAACCCTGACCACCTGGYCCACGTCGTCTCCTGCGTTGGGACCACAGTTTCAATGACGCCCTGCAGGCCATGTCTGCTGAGCCCCCCAGAGCTGGGGCTCACACTGCCATGTCTGGAGCAGCTTCACCACAGCCTGGATATCTGCCCTCCAGGCTGCCAGGTCTCTGGGTCCAGAGAGGCCATTCAAGCGGTCAGAGCTCCGGGTTCTAGAACATGGACAAGAAAGGGCCACCTGGAAAGCCTGGCCCACAGTGGCCCGGTGCAGAGGGGCCGTCCTGAGTGGCCGGTGGCAGCCGTGCCCTCAGAAGGTGAAGGCGTACACCACCCCGACCACCACGATGTTCCCCAGCGTCGCTATGATGGCGATCCACAGCAAGACGGCGTCRTTGGAGGACCTAGGAGGCTCTTCCAGCTGGCCCTGGCCGTTGGAGGCCGTGTGGACGTTGGCAGAGGAGTTAAACAGGGAGTACTCGGTGCTGAAGTCCTCGTTGGGCGAGTCCATGAAGGCTCCTCCCATCATGGGCAGCTGTGAGGAAGGAGAGAGAATTAACAGGGCAGCTGCAGGGAGAGGTGCCCCTCAGGGGAGCCACCACTGGGAACTGCACTTTGTCCCTGGCACCCAGGCAGGACATTTTCTTCCTGCGTGTAAGTGACAGMGTGTTTCAGTGACGGAAAATGAGCATTCATGGCAAGGTGTGTGGCGGGTGCCCTTGTGCCCACTCCACAGGCAAGAGCTTCAAGAAGGGCACCCRACAGCCAGCAGGTGACTCCTGGGGACTCACAGTGCCACCCCCACACCAGGCCTGCAAGTAGCATGGTCTGCCACTTCCCCCAATCCTCTCCTGAGTTTACAAATATGATGTGATCAGCATGGAACACTAAGAAAATAGTGTTTTCTAAATCCTCTGCACATTCGTCCTCTTGGCCACGCTTGGCCCTCTGCAGAACGTGGGTGCCTTGGCGCTCCCCTCCCTCCTCCAGGGCCACCTGTGYGGGTTCCTAGAGAGGCCACCCTGACTCCACACGCCGGATCCAACGCCCCTCCCTCCATCCTGCAGAGGTCCCTGGCCTGAGCCTGCTGCCTGCCYGTCTCTGGGAGGGACACACAGTGCCGCTGTGTCAATTTCCTGTTGCTATAGTAACAAATTGCCACAAATTCAGGGGTTTAGAACAACACCAGTTTATTACTTTATAGATGTGGAGGTCTCACGGGACCGCAGTCAAGGTGTAAGTCAAGCAAAAATGAGAACAAAGATGAGACTCATCATCCCCACACGTCATCCCTGTAACATTTTAATATTTTTTCTCTTCAATGCTTTTTTTCTGGAGGTGTATGTATCAGAGGCCAGGGAAAGAGGCGGGGGGGGGGATTCACCTATGTATTAAGAAGTCCATCCAAACCCCATTCCAACAGTTGTGTAAYATTCCATCAAACATAGAAGCCCTAATTTAATCCTCCCCCTAGAGTTGGGCGCAGGAGTTTCCAGGTTTGCCTTTTACGTAAGACACACTGATAAGCCCCGTGCATCCAGGTGGACACATCCTTGCACTCACATTTTTATTTCAGGGGACAGATGCCACATGCACAATTTCTGAGTCCAAGGTGATGAATATTTTAGAGTTTCTGGTCCACAGGGACAARCTCCCCCTAGGAGAGTGCTTCTAGCTGCCCCTGCCTGGGCTGCGCGTCACTGACCTGAGGATGCCGGGCCCTTGTCCCTGGGGATCAGAACTACCTATCTCCCCTCATCTGCAGGATGGAGCTGGGGGTGGGGGGTCGATCGCTCAGAGGGAAAGGGCGGCCCTGGAGCTAACAGGGAAGAAGGCTCTCCCTGCCCCCACCTAGGAGAACAAYGTCCAGGCTGTCCCAGGCCCTGCGGCCCTCCCTCGCCCCCAGAGCCAGTGTGGAGATGTATTAATTCCCMGGTTTGGTTCTGGCACCAATTTGGCTTCTGATAAATGTTTCCCTCACATGGCACCTGAAGGGACCAACAGGAGACAGTCACCCCTTCCTGGACACATGATTACAGGCCCTGCTGGCCAGGGCATGCGCCAGAGATATTAGTATACTCACTTCTCCTGGTTGATGGCAGAGCTGCGCCCCATTTTACAGGTGGGTAAGCAGAGGTTGAGGCCACAGTCTGTTAGGGTGTGGAGCAGGTCTGTCTGTAGCCTGGGCCTCCCGACTCAGGGTTCAACCAGTCCTGGTGGGTGGCTGGGTCTCGGGGCCTCCTTGTTACTGATAAACAAGCTGAGCACTGCTGTGACTGAGAAGAGCGACCTCTGATGGGCTCCTGACTGGAGGAGCTTGGCATTTCTTTGCTGACCACATGCTGCCCTGATGGCAGTGATGAAGCCATGTGTACTGGGGTGTGGTGATGGGAAAGGGCCACTAGGGGGCGCTCAGGCCGGGCTCCTCCCAGATGGGGGCTGTTGGCCCTGGGAGTGAGCTGGCTCCAGAGGTGCATTTATATACATAATCAAGTTAGCACTGTTTTAGTATGTCCGTAAACAATGACGGACATAAATGGGACAGATAACAGATGACAGGGCTCCTTGACAACGCGATGGGGTTATGTCCCTACAAACCCGTGGTAAGTGGAAGATATTATCATTAGAAAATGCGCTCAGATGCCCAGCCCAACAAGCACCGGAGCTCAGCAACTCAGCCAAATGCAGTCTCTGGCTCCCCCTCCAGCAGGCAGGGCTGATGGAGCTGTGGCCACTGACCCTGCCCAGCATCAGCAGAGAGGACTGGGCTTCCTACCCAGATTCCAAATCCGGAGGGCAGTTTCTACTAAAGGTGCATCGTTTCACACCAGGGCAAGTTAAAAAAAATCCTATCTGAACCACCGTACACTGGAGACCGTCTGCATAGACATTAACAAAGCTATTAAATTAGTAATAAAAGAACTAGGACCTCAGATGGGCCACAGGGATCCGGAACATGTGGGCCAACTGGACAGTGGGGGACAGGAAGGCTGGGCAGAGGGCCTGCTGCCGCTGGGCTCAGCCATCAGGAGGAGCCCTGGGCTATCCAGCAAAGCTGAGCATGCTTCCTGTCTCAGTACAACAGTCCTGTCCCCCACAGGCCACTTYTTGGGGCCTGTCCCACACTGTCCCCCAGTGGCCTTGGGGCTCTGTGAGGGGAACTCTATTTATCATTCTTATTGTGGAGTTCTTAGGGGCTTGCACAGTGGTGCCTAAARTCCACGCACTGATAAAGACGGCCATTTTCTCCTTTCTACAAACAACTGCTACTCCGACTTGGCTGGTTCTGTCCCCAGGAGGGGTGAATCCCTTCTCTAGGTCATCACTTCTGGGCCTCTACAGGGCCCACCCTCCACAAGGCCTCCTAGGCCACTGGAGGCCACTTTCTGCGGTGGCCTCTTAGGAAGTGGGGTCCAGCCAGGGGACGCTGCACGTTCGTCCTCTTGGACATGCAGAACGTGGGTGCCSTGGCCCTCCCCTCCCTCCTCCAGGGCCACCTGTGCGGGTTCCTAGACAGGCCACCCTGACTCCACGCCCCTCCATCCTGYGGAGGTCCCTGGCCTGAGCCTGCTGCCTGCCTGTCTCTGGGGCATGTTTGGGTTTGAGAAAATTTTCACCCAAAATGCTGGCGGAGAAAATGAGGATCTGAACAGAGACTGTGGCAGGGCCTCGCCGGGCTCACCACGCGCCCTCAACCTCCCACGCCTCTGCTCTCTGCTTCCCTGTGGTGCTCACTCAGCGCCTGTGTTAGTTTCCTGTTGCCACAGTGACAAACTGCCACACATTCAGTGGCTTACGATGAGACCAGTTTATTATAGATCTAGGGGTCTCGCTGGACCACCGTCCAGGTGTCACCAAAGCTGTGCCCCCGGAGGTGCAGGGGAGCCTGGCTTCCTGGCCTCTTCCAGCCTCACACACACAAAGTGCTCTTTTGAAGGGTTGTTAGAAAAGGGCACGGCTGACTCCTCAGGCCGAACCCCTCCGCCTCTTTCTTAACACAAAAAGGGTAACAAGTGGAACCACAGGAACTGGTGGGGGTGAAATCAGCAGGGGCTCCCCTAGGAGTCCTCCTAGACCAATCCCAGAGCTCCTCAGCAATGGGACAGTCCCACGCTGACACCCTCTTCCCTGCCCTGCACCTGTGGTGAGAGCTCAGGTGGCCAGAGGGCGTGGCCAGTGTCAGACTGGTTCTGCTGCCCCAGAGCCCGGGGACCAGGGTGGGAAAGACAGGGTGGGACGAGGTTCAGAAAGACTCGGGCGAATCCTGCTTGAACACACATCGGGGTCTGGGTGTGTCAGTTACACACTGGGCTTAATTTCCTTCCTGTAAGTAATGGGGATAAGACAGACGAGCGGGTGAGATGGTTGCAAGGGGCACCTGAGACCCATATGATGACAGGGCACCTGCTAATCTCTGCCGGGGTTTGCACGCGGTTTTAACCTCCAGGGATTCATGTGTTGGAAGCGTGGTCCTCAGGGTGGCCATGTTAAAAGGTGATGGACCTTTAAGAGGTGGAGCCTATGGAGGTCACTGGGGCACTGCCATCATAAGGGACTAAGTAGTTCTGGTGGGACACCAGTTAGTTCCTGCAAGAGGTTGTCATAAAAGATCTAGCCAGACACTTTCTCATTCCTGGGCTTCCTGTCCTACCAGGTGACCTCTCCCTCTTGCATGTATTCAAATGAAGGTGCCATCTGCCAAGATGTGATGCAGTCAGGAGGGCCCTCCCCAGAGCTGGCACCATGCTGTTTGGACTTTCTGCCTCCAAACTGTGAACTAAATAAACCTCTTTTCTTAATAAACTATCCAGCTTCAGTTATTTCCTTACAGTAACAAAGAACAGACTACTTGATAATTACTAATATTCTTCCCTTCTATTGTTCCTGTAGTAATTGAACACTGGGAATATTATTATGCATCTCTTAACCTACTGCTGAGGCCGAAGTAAGGAAATCAGAAGGCAGGCATTGCTAGCCATGCGTTTTTTGTGTGATCAATTAATCAGTTCATTTGCAGTTGTTGACAGATGGTCCCGCACGCCTCCAACTTAGGCTAAGGCAGGCAGCTGAGGTGTGCCAAATCCATCTGTCTCAGGTGTGTTGCTTCTGTTTTGTGTTGATGTTCTTTTTTTTCTCCTTTGTAAAATAGACTGTAAATTCAAAGTACTGGTTAGCTATGAAAATGACTTTAAGCACTGAAAATCTCATGACAGGACAACAAATGGTCGGTGCTTATTTGATCGTTTGGAGGCTGGGAAGATTTGGTGAAGAGCTGGCTCATGTCAGATGGAGGGGGTGCTGGCCCAAGTCACCTTGGAAACAGGTGGAGAAAGAAGGTGGCTTTCAAAGGCCACCCAGCCCGTGGGGTCCACTTTTAAGTCACTGTTGGAGACACCTGCTGGTGGCATGACTTTGTTGGCATGGTGACRAGGGTGGCTCACGCGGCAGGGCAGGGGCAGCCCTGAGAACAGCATCCTTGGTGGGGTACAGACACGAGCCTGGAGCACCGCAAGGGCTTGCACACAGACAAGAATG